TCTCAACTTTTGATAGAAGCATTTGAAATGCCTTAATGCTCTGGAATTAATACAAATATTTTGACTACATAGATGGAAGTAGCTATANCCTTTTCATCCAAAGAATTGGCATTTTGGATCTTAAGGGCAACTCCCACTAAAAGTACTGGTAGTGAAACATGGTTCACTAAAACGAAGTACTGTAAAGGGGGACAAATAAGAAATAAAATAGCTTGGAGCTTAGCATCTCCCTTCAAATCTATGGAGTTTAATTTTGCCAATATGTCTTGCATTTTCCTAAAATATAATAAAATATATAAAAGATATAATTACATTACAAATTTACCATCTTGTTTGGGTGCAAAAAAATTCAGAACTCTTGAATAATTCTTTGATATTCTGTGGTGCAACATCCAGTTCAAGGAATGGTTTAGTTTGGTGATAATCAGCAAACCAATGATATAATGGCAAAGCCTTTAAAAGCAGTAGTATTGAAGATATGCTAGGCTGAACTGATTTAAAATAATTTCCAATGACAAGGAAAATTTCTGTCAATAATTTTCTACAAAACATAAATTTTATTAAAAAAAATACATTTAAATAATTACTGACTTCATCAAATTTAAGTGTTGAAACTCTTGAATAATTTCAAATTGCACACACTCTTCAGTATCACCACTATAAGTCACTTGCATTGACGACAATACAGTATCAATGAAATCTTTAAGTTGTAACTGCAAATCAGTATTGTTAGTCAGAAAGTGACACCATACAATATACTGAAGAATGCATTGAGGTCTTGGGTTTTTTAAAACTTCAATTATTTTCTCAGTTAAAACCTACAATTATAAAAGCACATTAAAAAGTCTTATTTTCACATAGATCTACCTCTTCAAATGTTTTTCCAGAAGGGTTTAAAATCATGAATGAATTACCAACATTTCCAATGCTCACTTTCTTTGAATACATCAAGGACTTATTCACTCTTGACAGTTTTGAATGTAAGGCAATGATATCATCAGGATAAAATGTTTTTTGAGTAAAGTAGGTTCCAAGGTACAACCTAAAACACAATTCTACTTCATTTTTTCTATCAAATTCTTTCAATTTTATTTGTTGCACATAGGAAATTAATTTATTGACAATTCCCTTCGCTTCCTGAGGCTGCTGAGGGTAAACAATTGGATCATAAATGTGGTATGGAAATTGAGACAACTCATCCCCTATGGTTACAAAATTGAAGTGCATTCTGTTATAAGC